GGTGATAACACACTTCCTTGTTGGACCCCGTTTGCCTGGACAAAAAGTGACACTGTCGGATAAAAGTTTGACAGAGAAAGTTCTGTTAGAAATGAAATTTTGAATAAAACAAGGCAAGTTTCCATGTAACACAAAAGCATAAAGTTTTCTGAGTAGGCCATATCGCCATGTCATGTCATAGGCTTTTTCAAAATCTAAAAATACTGAAATCAAATAATCTTTCTGGCAATTGCCTCTTGAATATGACTGTCCAGGTTTACTAGTTGATCGAGAGTTTGGCGTCCCTTTCGGAAACCGCACTGCTCGTCAACTAGCAAATGGCTGTAATTAAAAAAATGCAATAGCCTACTGTTAATAATTCGTCCCATGACCTTGTATAAGCAACTTGTCAACGCAATTGGGCGGTAGGAGATGGCGGATCTGGGGTTTCCCCCTCCTTTCAATATGGGAATGATGTGGGCAAAGTGCCATGAGTTTGGAAAAGTGTGGCTTTTCCAAAATTCATTGTACACTAAGCATTTAATCATGGCATCATGATTAAGATCCTTTATCATCTCATATCAGATCTCATTAGGGCCTAGGGATGTTCCTCTACAAGCTTCTAGGGCTCAAGCTCATCCATTGTTAGGTCTTTATTGTAATCAAAGTCATTTCCTGTGGCAAAATGAATAGGTTGCAGCTCAGCTGCTTCCTTGATGGTCAGGAATGTGGGATGGTAATTTTCTGAGCTGCTTGTATAAGAGCATTGCCTGAAGAGTGCATTAGCAATGTCTCTAGGTGAATCGAAATTGGTTCCCTTGTGAATGTTTTTAATTTTGAAAGACTTTTTTCTTATTTATTTTATTAACAGTGGACCAAACCTCTGATATTGCTGTATTACTATTTATTGTAGAGACAAAGCTTCGCCAGGTGTCTCTTTTTGTTTGTCAAATTATTCTATGAGCCCTAGCTCTTGCTTGTTTGTAATTGCAAAAGTTTTTGTTATTGATGTTATTTTTGAAAAGTCTGTAGGCCCTATTCCATTGGCACAGCACCATGCGGCAATCTGGTGTCCACCATGGAACTCCATGTTTAACGCTATCTGTCGAAGTTTTAGGAATGAATAGCAATGCTGCATTTAAAGTCGAATTCTGAATATTGTTTATTTTATCATCAGTGTTTTTTCCAACAAGTTCTAGCTTGACGCTCCTTGTGAAGCGACCCAGTCTGCTGATTTTACGTTAAATTTAGGTGCTGAAGACCTTCTTACTGTGTCGCATGAATATTCAATCAAAATAGGAAGATGATCGCTTCCCAACGTGTCGTCCACCTGCGTCGGACTACCATCGTTCAGAAGGACCCCATAACGTATGATGAGCATAAAAATCACCTAAAATTATTTAATTTTGTGGCAGAATATCCTGAAGAGCAAAGAGCTCATCATATATTACCACATTATCAGTGGGGCAGTAAACTGAACATGTAGTCAGATATGTGTCAGATTTTTACTTTGCATTCGACAAACTCCAAAGTAGAACAAATAATCACTTCAGTGAAAGGGAGGCTTTGGTGGATGTACATGGCGACTCCGCCTCCACCTCTACCCTCTCGATCCTTCCGACACAGATGGTAGCTACTCAGCGAAACGACCTCGTCAGAGACAAAGTGTGTTAAATTAAGTGCGTTTCTTGGAGAACTACTGTATATCGGGAACATTGGACTAATAATAGGCTAATAATTTAATGTCATTTACTTTAGACCTGAGACCGACAGTTCCATTGTATAATAGTTAATGCGAAGATTACGTTTCATAGGGATTGAAAGTGTCTTGTCTGCCAGTTTTAATTTTCTTTTTCTGGGAAGGAGATTTGTTCTCTTCTCCCTCGCTACCCAGGGGCCTCTCATGGGTATTTTTGGAGACAGCAGCCTCCATGTCCTGCATCTCGCTGCCAGGGAAACGCCCGGTAGATGATCTATTCCGAGAAACAAACCAAAAACCAGGTGAAGTCCTAGCAGGAGCCGCCTGAATGAGAAAGTGCAATCCAGATTGTGTTTTGGTACCATCCTCCTTACGATGCTGCTTTTGCTGGGTTGATTCAGCAATTTGTTGAATTGTATTTTTCATTTCTTTAATCTGACTCACTAATTTCTTTATCTTTAGCCGCAACCTCCTAACTGAAGCCGTTTGCATTGGAAATGTTGTTAGTTGCTGCAGATGCGTAGGAAGTATTGGGTTTGCTGGTCAAACCTTCAACTTTCCTCTTGGCTTCACAGTAACTAACATCATGCCCTCTCATGTATACTGCTGCATTCGGTAAAGTCAGATTAATGGGGACCTCCACAGTTAGCACACAAGTGTTTTCTCAGTGCATACAGCAGTGTCATGATCTCCTGCACATTTACCACAAGTAAATTTACTAGTATATTTATCATTGCATCATAATGAGGCGTGTTCAAATTTTTGGCATCTATTACACCACACAGGTTTTTGAATGAAAGGTCGCACTTGGACAGGTTCGTA